ACGTTAACAGAACTGCGTGCGTGTAGTTGAAGATGGGAACACATCGATAAGGAATTATGATAAGCAAACTTGATGTTCACTGTATGTCATCTCGCCGAAGTGTAAACAACTTTTTGTTTCATAGTGTTAAACATGTCGAGTTTCGTGCCAACAAAAGAATATTTGCGGGGAATTTTACTGCACTACTTTATTAAAAAAAAATCTGCAGCTGAAGAACACAGAATTCTTGTTGAGACTTACGGCGACCATACTCTGTTGGAAACAACATGCAGAGATTGCTTTAGACGCTTCAAAAATAATGATTTTGATGTTGAAGATAAAGGACGCTCTGGCGCACCGAGAAAATTTGAAGATGAAGAATTGGAGGCATTACTGCATGAAGACTCATGTCAGACGCCAGTTGAACTTGCAGAATCATTAGGAGTTGATCACACAACAGTTTCGAAACGTTTAAAATTATTAGGAATGATTCAAAAGCAAGGACAATGGGTGCCGTACGAGTTGAAGCCGAGAGACGTTGGACGGCGTCTTTTCACGTGTGAACAGCTGCTTCAACGGCAAAAAAGGAAAGGGTTTTTGCATCGTATCGTGACTGGCGATGAAAAGTGGATACACTACGATAACCTTAAGCGTAGAAGATCGTGGGGTAAGCCCGGCCATGCATCAACATTATCGGCAAAGCCGGATATCCATGGTTCGAAGCTTCTGCTCTGCATTTGGTGGGATCAGCTGGGTGTAGTTTATTATGAGCTGCTCAAACCGAACGAAACCATTACGAGAGCTCGCTATCGACTACAATTGTATGATCAAACGAACTTACCTGTGAAGTTCGATCATAATTATGCGAATGCTTCGTCTGAGTAGACAAGGTAGTCATGTTCCATGCTACTTCCCACCAACAAGCATTTTAAAGCATGCGCCAAAAAACGAGGACCGCTGGCGCTGCGTTGCCGCGCGTGCGCTGTAAATCTTCATGTTTCAAAGCCTTGTCACAAAACGCCCTGAGAAAGGCAATACGTAGTATCTTGGGTTAAAGGGAGGGAAGGTCTACTCGGACGAAGCATTCGCATAATTATGATCGAACTTCACAGGTAAGTTCATTTAATCATACAATTATGCTCCGCTTCGTCCGAGTAGACAAGGTAGCTGTTTAAAGCTGACGATTTTGTGACGATGCAGGTTTATTCCCTGTGAGATAAACGTAGATTACTTACATATATATATATAAATATATATATACGAATATATCCTCTATCTATACATAGAATCGCAAGACTCTAACGATTTAAGATAATCGCTCGTGAAATATCCGACGATGGTATGATGGGTCTATTATAAATGGGTCTATTAAAAATTTGCAAAGGTAGACCCTTGAGACCAGCCTGCAGTCTTTTGGATGTTTTCGATACTAATACCTCTACGAGCTGCTGCCGAGGAGCCGGCATGGCGTGTTGTATGAGTAGAAAAAATTCGAGGTGTCGATTCCTCCCTCAGAGAGAGTTATTCTAATCCATCGACTAATAGACTGAGTGGAGGCTGATCTTATAGGTTTTCTAAAAGTGAGAAACAGGGCTGAAAAGGTATCCGATACGGAGCTAGCAGTCTTATCTAAATACAAGCGTAAAAGAGAGGTGATGGATAATGCAGGCTGGTCCTCGAAATGGTGGAAACCGTTGCGGGTTGGTAATGGTTTATTCCAGACGTTTTAATTCGGTCAGGAATTTTAATAATTACGGCATCCGTCACGAACTGGATATTCTGTCTACGTATTAGAGATAAAGTCTGTACTTTCTGTACTGATGCTAAGATTAAGAGCGTAGCTAGCTTACGGGTAAGTAATTCTAGACTTAAGGTTTCATGCGGCCATAAAGATGTTAGATAACGTATGACGGGTGTTGGGTCCCAGGTCAATGCGTACTTTGGTTTTGAAGACTTCAACACTGACACACCCTTGAAAAGCATTTGATTTTTTTTTTGTCGATACCAATGTCGCTATTGGTTATCAGTGATAAAGCGGATCGGTGAGAGTTGAGGGTTCCGTAACAAGTAATATTATGAAACTGTATTGATAGAAAACTTAGCACCAAGGGTATGTCAGGTTGGAACCAGTTGACGCCACGCTCGCTACAAAAAGATCACCAGAGCCTAATAGGCTTATTATATTGCGCTATGGTTGAGTCCGCAAGGGATGCCAAGGCCATTTCTATGGATTCTTCTGGAAATCCTTTCCGCTGAAAAGCTTGGCTGATAACTTCCCTACAGCCAGAGAAATGTTGTGCCACATCAGATGTTGACTCCTGAAGGGAGAAGTTAGTAGATTTGGACTGGGCTCAAAATAAATTAAATGTGAAATACATAGTTTGTGAAAAAGCAGAAACCATGGTTGAGCTGGTCAGTTAGGGACTGCTAAAATTCCTTCCGCTTTATCATCTATTATTTTCTTCAGAACCTTTGTAATTAGAGCGAACGGTGGAAAAGCATAAAAATAGAACTCGCTCCAATCTAACGTAAAAGCGTCGACGGCGAACGCGAATGGATCAGGAAACCAAGAAACGAAAAGCTCGCACTTTGCGTTGATGTGAGAGGTAAATATGTCTATATTAAAGGGACCAAAATGTCTCCTAATTTTATTGAAGTAGTGGGAGATGATTTCCCACTCGGTTTCTGTTGAAATTATACGTTGTCGATGGAGGGGATATACGAGGCAAAAATATATAAATCCCGAGATTCACACCACTGCCAAATTGATTTTGCAAGTGCTGACAGTTTGGGGAAGCGAGAAGAACCGCCTTTATTAATATAAGCAACTGCTGTCGTATTGTCTACACGAAGTATAATAATATATCCTGTGAAAGCAAGTCGTTTTACAAGAGATTTGAGAGCGTATTCTATTGCCTTCAATTCCAGAAAATTTATGTGTTCAACTCTATCTCGGTTTGACTACCAACCGTGCGTTCGTTTCTCTTTCATGGACACGCCCCAGCCGGTAGGTGAAGCGTCCGTAAAGATTGTTATGGAGAAACTACGCCTCGATAGAGGTCTTGAGATTGGAGGCGTAACTTAATCAACCACTATTTAAAATCAGTTCGGAGAGAGGAAGAGAGCGTCATACGCGCATCGTAATTATCGTCGTGTTCTATACAAGCAAGAAACTTCTGTCTTTCGAAATCTCGAATATATATAAACCGTAAGGAACTGCACGGCAAATGGAAATCAACGTTCCTATTAGACTCGCGAAATCGCGTATCTTGCAGTTTCCTTTGTTAGAAAATTTTTGGAGCCTGTCGGTTATGGCTGTTCTTTTGCTCTCTGGGATGGATATCAGCATCTTTGAAGAATTTAAAATGAAGCCCAAGTATCTTCTTTTCTGACTTGGGATGAGCTCGCATTTCTTTGGATTAATTAGGAGTCCTAAGGAGTCGAGTAACTGAAGCGTCTGTTTCACATCTGCAGCACAGTCCTGGAAAGTGTTACAAAGATTAGAAGGTCGTCTAAGTATATGACTGATAAAAAACCTCTGCCTCGTAAAAAAGCGACCACTGGTTTCATTATCTTGGTAAAGATATAAGGAGCTGAAAAAAGGCCAAACGGTAGGGCCGTAAACTCAAATATTTCTTCCTGAAAGGAAAAACGTAAATATTTTCGATATAAGATGTGGGAGGCAAAAACAAATTCGTTAAGAGGTTTGAGATTTAAAATAAATCTCTTCCCACCGGATGCCTTATCTATTAAAAAATATGAAGAAAGGAATTGATCCGGTCGAAACTCGGCGCGCTGTATAGCTCCTTTATTCAGTAAGCGAGATAATTCCGCTTCGTAAAGAGAGCAATCTGCCTTGCTCAGATGTGGTTCCCGTAAAAAGGGTCGGGAGGGTGGACTCTGGATAAGAGGAATTATGTAACCCGAGATCGCATTGAGAATAACCGCGTCATCCGTGATACGGGACCAACTGTTTACAAATTTGCCGAGTCTACCAGCAACGCTTACCTCTAACGATGGTATCGAGGTCTCCTCGTTCGAGAGTTCCTCGATCGGGATCTCGATCGGCGTCTTGTCGATCGAGATGACGCCATTGCTCCCCGACGAGACATTGGTTTGCGAGCAAAGGCCTTTGCATTTCCCTGTAAAGGGGTTTTCTATTGAAAACGTGGTGTACTCTGAACTACCGATTTTGCGGTTGGAACTGTAAGAGTCTTTAACAATTTGTCCGCTGCTACTGCATCCCTCATTTTACTCAAATATTGTTCACCGAATAGGTGGTTATCGACGGGGGAGGTATCTAAGGCAATCTTAGCGGATGGAGTCAACATCGGAATAATCAGGGCACGCCTGGCCTTCGAGATGTGCTGTTGTACGTGGGATAATAAACGGCCTGTATCACTTGCTGTCTCAAATATTCGTCTCTCTTAACGGATGTCGGGGGAATGGTCTGACGCACTTCGATATTAAGCGTAGGAGCCTTAGCTAGGGGTAGATTCTGTGGCACTACGTATTTCTTGCGTAATGCAAGGAGAGTCTCTTTCTGTAGACCGCTAGAAAAAATAGATGTCCATGTTTTTTGTAATTAATCATAAACCGATGGCCCCGTAGCTATGTCATCTAAATTGGCTTCCATTAAATCTCTCTTGAAAGCCGCAACGTCATGCTCTGCATCGACGGGCTCCGTCGCAATAGTCTTCTTCTTCTTCCTACTATTTGGCCAGGCAGCCAACCAGGCTGAAACTAGGCCATTGAAGTCTGCATATCTGGTTGTTAAACGTTGGGGGTTGCCGACTTGATGTGATGACGCGCGATCTCGATTCCCCTCCCCACCACCAGACGCCTGCCATCATCCAACGGTGAGTCGCGCGCCAAAGGAGAAAGGGAGGGGGAAAGAATGTAGAGCAACTAAAAGAAAAGCTCGTTGGCCTTCATGTAAGCCAAGAGCAGACGACATAGTTTAGGAGAAGGGGAGCGAAGGGCCGGGAGGAGGTTCGGGGAGGGATTAGGAAATTTCTGCGCTATGTAATTTCTAATGGGAGATGAGTTGGAATTGAAGGTTTCGCAATGGAATATGAGGTGATCGATTGATTGTCGAGGATCTCCGCAAGGACATGCGGGAGATTCCACCATGTTGACTCTATGGAGACTTTGACATTGACATTTATATGATTTGATCTCAAGCGGTTAATCATTACAATTTCTTCTCTTGATAAATTGGACCCATGGAACCATGCTTTATTAGGCGAAGCGTTATGGAAATTTTCATAATACAGGATGCCTTTAAAGCTTGAAACAATCTTCATACTTTCTTCGGACTGCCTGTTCGCTTGTGCAGTAGATTCCGTGAGAAGTTCCTTGTAAGAGACCTTGAAGGGAGGTTTGTATCCCTCTATAGCTGCTTGTTTGGCCGCAGCATCTGCAGATTCATTGCCTGGGATCCCGACGTGAGCAGGCACCCAGAAAAAAATTATTTCTTTGTCTTGTTTGGTAATGTTGAGATAAGCTTGTTTAATGTAATAGATTATGTAGTTGCGATGAGCCTTAGTGGAGTTGCTAAGTGCCTCCAATGCATTTTCCGAGTCCGAAAAGATGACGTTCTTCTTGGTGTTGAGATCCCCAATTAGCTGAATGGCCTGAAGTATGGCCCATAGTTCCGCCGAGAATACTGAAGTTTCAGAGGGTAATTTGTGTTTTATTGTTCCCTCCATGTCAGGCGTGAAGACCGCTGCGCCCACCGCGCCGTCCTGACTCTTTGATCCGTCAGTGTACCAGGAGACAGCATCCTGTCTGTAATTAAAGGATTTGTGATAGAAATCCGCCTTAGTCAAGCTGAGGTTATCCTTCTTATCACAGCCTTTTAAATCGCTAATGTAATTTATTTGTAGAGTAAGGACCTCATAGGAGTGCCAGTAAGCAGGTGGGTAGGTGGATCGATGAATGATGCTCTTCTCTCCGCGACTGGTAACGTAGTGCTTGAAGAGTCTAGATTTGCTGATGGCGTCGATCCTGCAATTCCTACTGGTAACCGCTAACTCCATTTCCTCCAGGGAACGGTAGACCAAGCTAAACCTGCTTGCCATGGCTTTGTAAATGAATCTCGAAGTAGTTAAATTAAGTCTAATGTCAAAGCTGATTTCTTTTGCTTCAGTTAACATGACATTGATCGGCGGCGAAATGCGATATCCCATAGCTCCCCTAATCACCCTATACTGCAAACGCAACAATTTGAGGTAATTCGGCGAGGAAGAGGACCATGTGAAATAGCGGCACCCGTATTCCACCGCACTGCGGAAGGTGGCTCTGTACAGGGTGAGCAGAAGACCTGGATGAGAGCCCCAAGTAACACCCGACAAGGTAGCAATAATGCCAGAAATTTTTTTACCTTTTTCAATAAAGTATTTAAGATGATGACCACCCTTAAGACCGGAATCCAGAATAACTCCTAAAAAGCACTGAAAATGAACTCTGGGGACCTGATTCCCATTAATTATTAATTTTGATGAGGTTTTTTTCGCAGGCCCTTGCGAAAAGCAAATCCAGCTAGACTTGCCGGGAGATAATTCCAGATTTCTGTATTTAAGATACTCGTGCAACTTGTTGAGTGAAGCTTGAACCGATTCAGCAGCAATCCTCGGGTCTCTATGTGTGGAGTAGAGTACACGTCATCGGCGTATTGCAGAAAACGGGTGTCAGGGTGTAAGTGTTGACCCAGATTCCTGAGATAAATGTCAAACAGCAGAGGGCTCAGGGTAGAGCCTTGTGGAGTGCCTTTGTATGTTAAATAAGGTCCTTGAGATTCGCCGTCGACCACGAAAAACATGATTCTGATGCTAATCAGGTTCTCCACAAATTTCCTAAAGAGAGCTGGAATTCCTATGTCCTTCAGATCCTCCAAGAGGATAAACGGATCCACGTTGTCGAACGCACTTGCAATGTCCAGAAAAGCCGCAACCGTGACAGAGTGTTCGAAGAAGCCAGTTCTGATTGCTGTTGTAAGAACGGCTAGATTATCGTCGCAGCTCCTGAAAGGCCTGAAGCCTGCCTGAGCCTGAGGAAGAATCGGGTTAGATTCCACAAACCAGCCTCTGGTAAAGAATTCGCTCCATAAGCTTACAGACACACGACATGAGCGAAATAGGTCTAACCGCCTTATTGCCAGGTTTAGGTATGAATATAACCAGTGAGGTTTTCCATGAATCTGGGAATATTCCCTGGGAAAAGATTTCGTTGAACATAGACAGCAAATAGGTCTCATGTTCCATGGGCAATCCAGGCGCGGAGTTTTTTCTGGACGAAATTTTTGCTCTCCGGTATTCGCTCATGGTCAGGGGGTTGTCCAACCCAGCATGTGTATTTGTGTTTTTCTCGTCCTCCAATTTCATATCTGTCAAAGTTTTGGATCTATTACAAAAGGACGACGGAGGACACAGTTTGGAGATAGCTTCCATGGCGATCCGTATATATTCTTGCTGCGGGGAGTCTTGTTGCGACGCCCTCCTCTTGAAACTTTTAATCAAAACCCAAATCTGACTGGTAGGAGTCCTTGCATTGAAGCCATTCACCAGGGTGCGCCAGCCTCTTCGCTTTTGTTCCAGAAGTACCTTGGCACAGTTTAAGCGGGCCCTTCGGAAATCTTGGTAGTTCTCCTCACAGGGGGTGGACAGGAACTCTCTGATAGCTTTCTTTCTATCACGAACCACTTCGGAGCAGATCTCATTCCACCAAGGCGGAAGTTCTAATTTTTTTATTTGTACAGAGGTGCGCGGAAAACGCTTGCTCTCTGGGAGGAAGCTCCTGGCCACCTCAAGGATATTGTTAATGAAAGCGTCATAGCAACCTAATAAATCATCTCCAACTTGAGCGGGAAGATCCTTGGTAGCGGAGAGCAGAGTCCGAGACAGATCCTGGCACATTTCTTTAGATAACGGTATTTTATAGTAGAATTTTTTTTTGAAGCAAGCTTGGATGCCGATTGTCGTGATGACGGGGAAGTGGTCACTGCCGAGAGTGTCGGATTCTGTTTTAGTGCTGCACAGAGGTGCCAGGGAGGGAGACGCCAGAACCAGATCTATAGTTGAGGTAGTAGCTGATGAGACTCTCACAAAGGTTGGCGCTTTTCCATTGAATATGAACAAGTCATATTCTCCAATGATCTGATGAAGGGTCCTTCCCGAACTAGAGTGTGTCCCGGAGCCCCATGCCGGATGATGAACATTGAAATCTCCCAGAATAATAAGGTTCTTGTAACCTTGCAAGCTGTTGAGCAAAGATCTGAAAAAGGAAGCGCGAGTTCTTTGCCCGGGGTGTCGATAGACATTAACGATAACCACCGGTTCAGAAGTTAGACATTCAATTCGAACCGCATTGAATTCCACTGATGGATGCTCAATATTCTGGAGGACGACAAGCTCAGACTTGATATCCGTTCTTACTAGTGTGCATATGCCTCGGTCTCCTGGATGGGTTATATCCTTTCTATATACGTTGAAACCTTTAATATTAATGGCGTTATTGTTTTTAAGCAGGGTTTCTTGGATGCAGAGAACATGATAGTCCTTTGCAATTGAAAGCAGTGAAGGGAGTCCACTTCTAATTCCATAGCTGTTCCATTGAAAGATGTTGAACCGTTTGTGAGATGCGTTGCCCCCCGAATATGTGCCCGTGCCAGACCCGCGACGCCGGCGAACCGGCGAGGGCGACGGCGGCGCCGCCACCGATCCCCAATCCGCCGAATCGCCGCGCGACAATGGCGAAGACAAAGGACCACGCGGGCCGCGCGGGAAGTCACTGACCTGATTGGCATAATCGCGTGAAGCAAATGAGCTAGTTCCGAAAGTTGTAGTTGCAACCCAATTCATAATCGTAATCGAATGCAGTGTCTTGCTGCTGTTCGAACCTGTTGTTATAATCATCGATGACATGGGGGGTTCTAGGAGAATCTCTCGCCTCTCTGTCAGGCTGAGGAGCAGAGGAAGGAGATTGAAAAAAGTATTTACCAAGAGTTTTAAGAAGCCTGAAAATGTCGCTAAGAGCGCCGGCAATATTGTTATTCTGGAAGTGTGAAAAAATTCCAGTTGCCATGGCAAGCAACTCAGCAAAGTCCAACTCGTCAGTCGCCTTACCTGCGTACGCACCCCGAGACTCTGACCATTCGGAGGAGTAATTGGAGAAGGCTATGCCGTTGCCAGACTTGTGTGAGGCTCGGCCGTTAGCCTCGATGAGAACCTGGCGATGAGCCCCTTCATCATAGCCACCCTGGAGCGTGCTGGGTTGAGCCGCGTGTCTGCAAGATGGAGGCGCCGACGTAGGCGTCGGCATCGGCGTATTCCCTCTGCGAAAGACCTGCTTGTTTCTTTGTGGCTGTGGCTGTGGTTGAATCTGAGATTTTAAGGTTTCAGCGTATGAGCGGTACACATTTTCAGGTTCTTCAGTACCTAGAAGATTAAATCTGTTAGAATTTTCGAAGTGAGTCTCTTTACCGCGAGAGAGACTGGGAAAGTTGTTTGTATTATTTCTCAGCGATGCATTGGGAGGTAGAGAGGAGGGTTTCCAACCATTTTCAACCCAGGTTCTTGCGTCCGCTATGGAAATATTTTCTACAGCAGCAAGACTGACTATAGTGCGTTGTTTAACAATCATTGGACAGTTTTGGCTATTGGCCCAATGGTCGCCTTGGCAATTGATGCATCTGGGGCTCTCCCCCTGCATGCGACACACCTGATCTGCACTGTTATCACCGCTGCTGTCATGCTTGTCCTCACCACAATGCAAACATCTAGGATGCTCTTGCACGAGCCGCTTACATGCCCGACTCTATGGCAGAGGCGGCAGATTCTCGGTAGTGGAATATAAGGGCGAACCTCATGCCTAACCTTGAACAAAAAGATTTCTTGCGGCAGGATCTGACCTGCAAACTTAATGCGAATTGTCCTAGATGGGACATATTCGATCTTATCATTTGTGACGCATCTCTTGTTTAGTCTCTGCACATCAATTATCTTGGCTTTTGGCGATTCCAGTCCTTCCTTTAGAATGTCCAGCTCGATTTGTTGCGGGATATCACTGATTAAGCCTGTCCTAAGAACCTTGAAAGAAGGAATAAATGCTTTCAGGTTATGTTTGGTGAACACAGAGTTTTCCACCAATCGATTGGCACTCGAGGCCAGGTTTTGACTACAATCATTATCTTTCCTCTACCAGTTTTCTTGATTTCGAGGATGTCAGGAATACCAGCTTTAACTTATGAGTGTGGAATGTACGATATTGTCTCGAGAGTTAGGATATACGTAAACAACGTACGGGCCTGTATCGCGCTGACTGTATCGCGGCGTTATTTTGTTGCTCAAGTTCTGGTTGGCTGAATTTTCATGCAAATCCGCCCGAACACTGGACGGCGAATCAGGATTACTTACACTCGCGCATGCACCTTTCTTGGCGGGAGGTGCATGCTTGTTTTGAATTTTGTCCTCTGCAAGTCCTGGCAATGCTCGTTTCTTAGCTTGCCTTTGTTTCTCATCGATGTCCATGGGGGACGAATCCGTGTCCCTGGAAGGCCCAGAGGTGACGGAAATCGCCCCAGCTGGACCCACCGAGCATCCATTACCTGCGTTATTGATGCCGCCCTCTGACGCAATCACCCCGTCTCGAGGGGGGCCCGGCATTGTCAGGCCAGCCTCCTTGTAAATGTCTTCTAATAGAATTTGAGAGGCCTGTTCGCTATGCGGAGAACTAGGAGGGGAAAATATATTAGAGTCGGAAGGTGAAGAAGGATTTAGAATAAGAGTCGGGGGATTGAGAGAGAAAGATGCGCTCGAAACACCGCCACGGCCATCATCCCCCACCCCAGGGGGCTGAGGCATGATGCCTCAAATTGAGTCAAGCCCTTTACACTGTATTTTGCAGTGATGGCACAAAGTTTATGTTCAGAAGTCCGGAACGAGAAACGTTCAAATAACTAAAGCAAAGCGCACAATAGCTATTCGCAAGCGAAATATACTCGCAACACGACCAAACAACACGGAGACAGGAGACACGCGTCCGCACCCCAGCGCTGCCAGATCGACACTACCCGTCGCAATAGTATTCGTCGCCTCATGCATTGCTGTAGAATTGTCTTCAAGGGCCTTATCTAAAGGGACAGATAAGAATCGCTATATCATACTTACGTCATGACGATATGCAAATAGCTGGGCTTCGTGAATACTAGACTGTGCGGCTAGATATTGTTGAGCATGTCTCTACGGACAGCTTCAGAAAATGTTGGACATAACCAAACTCAAGGTAATGGTTCTTTGTCCGTAGATTAATGTCGAACGTTTACGTACCTCGCGGGCAACCTCACGAAACGATGGACGGCGCCATACGTGCGACTTCGTCCTGACATATAATCTAAACAGAAGCGGCGTACCCATAACGGCTGGCGCTTCATTGTCTGATCCGCTGTCACAAAAAATCGAGGTAGCGGGGGCCGCATGGAGGTTAGGAGACTCTCGCTGTTTGACGCAAACTGCGTTTGACTGTGATAAAACATCTAACAGTTTATCCAGTTTTTCCTCCAAGGCTGTCTGACGTTCTGATGAATACGAGTGTCCACGAGATGATCTTCGGTGGCGATTGACAAAGCTTCCGGGCGATCGCGATCGCGATCGATTTAACTCTGAAGATGTTCTATAATACTCTCTGTCATGACTGTCCTTATAAGGGTGAGCTCGAGAGTATTCTCGATGCTTACGAGACTTAAATGAAGAGTGTCTTCCCATTTTCTTCAGAAATTAATAACACACGCAACACGATGTTGTGGTTAAGGAGAACAAGCAACACAATGAAGATTTACAGCTCACGCGCGGCGACGCAGCGCCAGCGGTCCTCGTTTTTTGGCGCAAGCTTTAAAATGCTTGTTGGTGGGGAGTAGCATGGAACATAACTACCTTCGGTGCGTTCCGTTTCTCGCATGATGCGCATAATGCGTCGTTTATCCTTGTTGCTCACCAAATGTTAAACAAGGACAATGGATGCATCATGCGCATCATGCGCGTTACGGAACGCACCTCTAGTCTACGAAGCGGAGCATAATTGATGCGTTTGAGCCGAGCATTGAAGGAAAAACGGCCGCTATACGAGCAGAGACACGATAAAGTGATTTTGCAACATAACAACGCACGGTCACATGTTGCACAACCGGTGAAAACCTACTTGGAAACGCTTAAATGGGAAGTCCTACCCCACCCGCCGTATT